AAATCGAGATGAACAGCGACCCCTTCCTTTAATTCAAAATACGCGCTAATAATTACTTTGTGCTTCAATATTTTGTTGTTTTTTTTTTTCTCAATACAATTTTTTCACATACACAGACTACATTTTCAAAATATAAGCAATATAATACAGGATCGACTATTTTATAACAAAAAAATGGCATGAATTCTTTCGTCTTGAGCTGCACAGGCAGCTGCTCTAAATAATATAACAGCATTGTGCTATACCAAAATATTTAAACTGTGATTTGGTTACTTTGAGATGCCAGCAGCTTGTTGGAATTTTAATGTTTATTTTTACCCCCTCGGTTTTATTATTGAACGTTACAAAAATTTTAGAGCACACAGAAAAAAGGACTTTTTTTTTTAAAATGTTAATCGTAAGTATGTGTACATAAATTGAATAAGTAGATCAATATGTTTGAATATTCTTGAATATGTTTCCTTAATTTTTAAATATTTGAATATAAGTATGTGTATAAATAGAATTCGTTAATTTGATTCTTGTGTTTGGATATTGAGTGTATGTGATGACAAAATCTTGTAAACTCCGTTACATGTGTATTTTTGTTTTTTTGAAGTCGTGTTAAAATTACAATATTTTAAGTGATTTTTGTGTCAATTTGATTCAATTGTTTATATTGATGATAAAATGTTGATCTAAGTGTGCTTGCGCATGTTCAAGAAATCATATGAAACGCATATTATATAATGTGTGTGTGCAAGAAAGGTGATTTCATACTCTCGCATGCATAATGTAATTCTGAAGAAATTTTTAATTTTCGATGTTCTTTTTCTATAATCCTAAGGATTTTCATTTTATTATTGATAAAGTATTGGTACGTGTTGTTATATACATAATGGCATTAAATTGAAAAATAAATTTTTTAAATAAGCAAAAAAATTTACGATTTATTTTGTATATTTTTCCTGTTTTTCTAAATTCTTAAACCTACGGGTATGTGATAATTTCAAAGAATATTTTTTTATTTATTTTTTTAATACAAATTAGTAGTATAAGAGAACTTAAAGTAAATTAAGAGATGGGCTCGATAAGCTTTTCGATTGGCTTATCTTCGATGGGCTAATATAAATGCTTATCTTCTACTCGAATTCGAGGAATCAATTTTAATTGAGGCAATCAGAGCCTATCCAATATTTTTTTTGCAAAAATTAGTTAATACTCCTTAGTTAGTACGAGTACTCCTCTTTCCACTCTATTTTGACATTAAGTTTCTTTTTGCCTTTAAAAATTTTCTTAATTCAATTGCAATTTATTCGAAATGTCATATTTGCAAGTAGGCCACTAATGCGCCTAACACCCACAATGTTCTTAAAATACAAATGCATATAGCTATATTCCGAATGAAAAACGGAATTAGTTTTGGTTCACATTAGTATTCTTAAAACGAACATGTACGAAAATCAATTATCATATTCCAACAATAGCTGGAGAAATTTGAGCACATCCGGTACGGCTAGAAAAACTTGTTTAAAATGCGATATGAAAACAACCGGTGAATATCTTAGCGACTTTTCATAGGTATAACCTAATTTAGTAATTGTTTACCGTTGCATTGCTTCTATCAATTTTGTGAGCGTTTTTGAATGTCGTTTTCTCGGATCTTCTTCGAATTTACTCCTTAGAAATCAAAAGTTGCGTTTGACGTTTAGTCAAAAATCGGCAATAAAAAATCATTTTAATTTTCAATTTCACTTTTTTTTTGTTTTTGTTTTACAATTTAAGAAAATAAATTTATTTAGACGAATTTCTTTTTTCCCCCGATAAATACGATCACAATTTTTATGTACAATTAATTTTTAATTATAATATTGAAAAAAAAAAAATTAAAGTGATTGAAGATTATAATTTACTATTTTTATTGTTTACAAAAAAAAAAAAAAAAGCAAAAATACAAAAATTTCATAATTAAAATGTGAAAGCGCTCACATTTTTTCTCTATTGTTGTAAATACTTTTTTCTTATCCTCTTCCATTCAATAATATCAAATATCGTAGATAATTTATTTATCTACACAACATAACCTCAACAATTTCGTGCACTCATTTTTTTTTCTATCTATACCTATTTTATTCTACTTTTGTTTTTTTTTTCATTCATCAATTCATTTAATTTTTTTTTATTGTACTCTGTGTGCTTTTTTTCTGTTTTTCGTGTTTCCTCTTAATTTTTTATTTTTTCTATATAAGATTTAAAAAATTTCACTTTAAAAAAAAAATGTAATTTATTTTACTATATTGTTGTTTTTGTTTTATTTTTTTTTTTTTTTTTTTTGAAACTTGCTTCAACCTACGTAGCCATTTTTTTCTATATACATGAGTACACAAACATTCAGACATACGTAATTCAAAATATATGTTTTTGTTTTTTTAATTTATGCAAGTGAAAAAGTTGCGAAAGATTTTGATATAAGCCAAAATACGGTATTTAATACGGATCTCATACCATCACATATCCCCAATCATCAGTCACACCATTCGAAATTAAAAAAAAAAATCCTCTCAGTACATTATTATTTTTCTGAAATAACAGTAAAAGTTGCCTAATTTTTAACTCAAATACAAGAACAAAACAAAAATAGTTTCTCTCTAATTGAATATTTAAAAGATGGAAGAGGAAAAGAAACGAAAAAAAAAATAACTAAATAAACAATTAGAAAATCAAAGTTCACTCAATTCAATGAAATATGAAATAAAATACAAAAAGAAACAACAAAAAGAAAATGTCGGAAGAATCATCATTTCTCCCTTCTTCTTACACAATTAAATTTTTGTATAAAAAAAAAAAAAAACTTTAATTTTTGCACCTTATTTTTTCAAATTTTTACACCAACAAACAAACCAAAATGAAATCACAAAAATAAACTTTTTTTTTTTTTTTTTTTTTTATAAAAGTAGGAAAGAGACCATAAATAATAAAAGCGATCATTGAATACCCTCTGAGACATTTTATTTTATAGTGGATGGGATACAGCAAAAAAAAAACAATGAAAAATTTTAAAATTATAACCATTAGCACAAAAACAACAATGTGTTAAAAAATCACACATAATTCATGGTGAATTTTTGTTTTCTTCGGCAAAAAATATACATACTCTACATCTCAGATGCACATACTTAATTACATATAAATATTTTTTCTATTTTACAATCCAACAATATCGTATTAATTCAATTCGTTTATACATGTACATATGTGTATGCATACATTCACACCGAACACGTATTAAATTGTTAAAGAAGGTGCAAAATTATAATAACAAAAATAATAATAGGAAAAGAGAAGGAAATATTAATAAAAGATATATACATATAATACATCTCATTTGCTCAAAATCATCATCATCATACATCATCATCTCATCTATTTAATTCGTTGGTTCGGTTGGCTACAACGCTATAGAAAACGAAACAAAAAAAAAATAAAACACACTCATTCTATTAAAGTCACACATCATCAATACCCTGTTTATTTTCAAATTAAAACGATAAACATTCGTACAACATAAATCTAACATGAATATATTTATATATACGAAATATACATAAATATATACATATAAAGTATATAACAACAATTTTACTAATTTACTCTCATATATTTTTCAGTATTTACGTAAGTATATAAATGGTGCTTATTTCGCATATATTTAACTCTGTTAAATATATGCGAATATATTTAACTCTGTTTTATTTTTTTGACTAACTCTTCTGATTATGTATATAGAAAATTATGTAGTCATTATGAATGTAGCACCGGTTATTTTTCATTTAAATATGAGTAACGAGTGGCGATCAAACCGAAACGATATAAAAGGTGTATGATTATTATATGTACATACGTACAAATTGTTATTGTAGTGTTTTATTTACCTTTTCTATTTAAACCTAATAAATGAGTAAATAATTTTGGATCAAACTTGCAAATTGTTACTAAAAAAACGTTCTCTGGAAAAAAATTAATATTCAACAAAGACTACTCTCTTTGTTTAAATTATAGAGAGAATGAGAATTTTCAAGAGAATAAAAATTATGAAAAAAAAATATTAACTATTGTACTCATTTAACTGACTAAATGAGTTTCTGTAATTCTGTCGTTTAAAATTTTTTATGCTCTCCTCTACTCTATTCAATGTTATTTCACTGTTATTACGATATACGTTATTTATACGACCTCTCTCAAAAATAAATATTTTAATAGCTGAGCTGAGCATTAAAATAATGTAGATAAAATAATTTTCCAAACATTGAATAGAGTAAATTTTTTCGAAACAAAAAATTTAACAGACTGACTGAACTGTATAAAATATTTAACATAAATAATGTTATGCTATACACTCTTTACATTCTCTCAATTTTATTTTAAGCAACACTGTTATTCTCTCTATTAAAAATAATATGAACATTTATTTAGCTGACGGCACACCTGTCTTTACTTTAGTATTTCTCATCGTTATATAAAATGAATAAACAAAAGGAAGTAAAATACTGTTGTTCTCTCTTTATCTGTAATAATTTTTTTGTACATTTTACTTATTAGACATAACAAAATTGTAGAGTAAATAAAATAAAAAAACATTATTACTCAATATCTTTTCTTATTTACTCTCTTTTTATTTGGCTGTGCTCTTCTCTTTCAATATAAATCTAAAAAATCATCTTTTCTTTTGACTGTCGTCTGTGTGAACGCCTTTGTAGCAAAATCATTTTTTAGTAGGGGAAATCTATAAGAATCTTATTGGTTAGATGGCACGTGCTGTAACAAATTTTTTTAAAGTGGGAGAAAGCTATAAAAGCCGAAGAATTATACGAAGTTATAACATTTCGTCGTTGGTCGCCTTTGCGCAAATACAATTTTTTTTTAAAGAAGAGAGAAAAATTTTTATTTCGTTTTATTTTTGGTAATTTTAAAAATAAAAAAAAAAAAAGTGAAAAAACAATTTGTTACCAAAAATAAAAAAAACAAAAAAAAAAAAAACTTTAATAAGAGAAAGATGAAAAGTGCATTTTAATTAAAAAAATAAAAATAAGGATTAATTAAAAGGACGAAATCCTGAGTGTTTCAATTTAAAGAAATGAGAAAAAATATTTTTGATTAGCGTTTTATAAATAAAACAGGCAAGTGGCAATTAAATGCAAATATAAAAACTGAAGCAAGTGATTCAAATTATTAAAAAAAAATAATTTAAAAACAAAAAAAAAATTAAAATGCCTACAACAACATTTGAAAAAAATTATAGTAAGTGTCCGCTAAAAAAGCGCCCAGTTAATTATATTTTTGATGAAAGCGAGATCAAAGATGAACCAGAAAATTTGTGTATTAAGAAAGAAATTTTATTGAAAAAAGAAAATAATATTTCGTCAACAGCAATTGTTCCATCATCATCAATAACACCTACATCAGAAGATTCATATTCATTAGAAAGTGATGATGAAAAATTATCACCAACTGGTGTTGTTATACCAACTCCAACATATCCAAAATTTAATATACAACCATGGGGTTTTCATCATATACCATATGCTACAGATTTTTACAAAACCTTGTCGCAAAACAGTCCAGCTGCATATTATCATCCGACTGCATTACATCATCATTTACAACATCATCCACATCATGCATTTCATCAGACATCTCCATTACGTGGTGATTTACATTCTCCGTTAACACCATCAGAGAGTTCATTGTCACCACCTCCACCACATTATATTCGTGGACGTGGTAATTCTGTATCACCACCAATTCGTGAGATGTATTCAACAACAATTGTTGGAAATACAAATTTTAATAACAATAATAATATTAATAATAATAGTAATAATAGCAATAGTATTATAACTAAACACGGTAATAGCCATATTATTAAACCAGAAATAGTTCCAACACATCGTTTTATGCCATATCAGATACCATATCAACCGTATTCATCTACTCTCGGTTTAAATAATAATAGTTTCAATTCACATCATTTATCACAACAAACGACACAACAGCAACCTCAACATATTCTTCATTATTCATCACATCGACAACAACAATTACAAGATCGTCATCAATTACCACCAATTTCACCATCTTATAGTGAAACATCATCATATTACTCAATTAGATCACAAACACCTGAATCAAATTGTTCAATACCTGAAGACTTATCATTAAAGCAGCATTCACCAAAACATTCATTATCATCATTATCAACATCGTCATCCTTAATGTCATCGTTGACACCATCTTCATCTTTGTCATCATTGTCAACACCACCATCAATATCATCATCATCATTACAATCTAAAATTTCGACAATACCAATTCCATCAATGCCATCAATTGTTCCGAATTTTGCAAATCACGATAATCGTGATTTTAATAATATATCATCACAATCATCATTAGCATTAACAACAGCATCTTCTACAATAATAGCAACAAATATATCAGCAACAACATCAACATTATCATCAGTAAATACAACAAAAAGACTTTGTGAAAATAATAATATTATTTGTAATAATAGTAATAACAACAGTAATAACATTAATAATCACAATAGTAATAATAATAATAATAACAGCAGTAATAGTAGTAAAGAAAATAAACAATCACCACCACGATATCAATGTCCTGATTGTAATAAATCATATTCAACATTTTCTGGATTAACAAAACATCAACAATTTCATTGTCCAGCTGCTGAAGGTAATCAAATTAAAAAATCATTTAGTTGTAAGGATTGTGATAAAACTTATGTTAGTTTGGGTGCATTAAAAATGCATATTCGAACACATACATTACCATGTAAATGTACAATATGTGGTAAAGCATTTTCACGTCCATGGCTTTTACAAGGGCATATACGTACGCATACTGGTGAGAAACCATTTAGTTGTCAACATTGTCATAGAGCATTCGCTGATCGTTCAAATTTAAGAGCACATTTACAAACACATTCAGATATTAAAAAATATTCATGTACAACATGTAGTAAAACATTTTCAAGAATGTCATTATTAACAAAACATAATGAAGGTGGTTGTCCTGGTATACACGGTTCAACAAGTCCCAATTATATAACACAATATCCAGAACATTAAAATTTAATTTTTTTTTTTTCGAATTTTATTCATTTTTGTTTCTATTTTTGTTTTTTTAAATTATATAATAGGGAAGTAAATAAATTAATTAAATTAATTTTATTACAGAAGAAAAAAATTAAAAAGATTAAAAAGTAAAATTTTACAAAAAATCTTTTTTATTTTTTTTTCAACTCTTTTGGACCAAAAATTAGTTCCTAGAACAAAAATTAGAAAAAAAAATAATTTTTACAAAATGTAAATTTGAATTTTGAATTTAATGAAATATTTTAATTCTTACAAACCTTTTCTTCTGAAATAAATTGTTGCTAGTCACAAAAAAAAATTTTATGTTAAAAAATATAAAACCATGGAATCAATTACCTTGATTAGAATGACATTTTTTGTTCAAACAAATTTAATATTTATGAGAGAATGGAATGCATCCTGTAAATTATAAAAATTTATAATTAATGAGAAATTTTAATTTTTCATAGAACCTACATACTTTAATAACAAATTATATAAAACCTATTGTTATCGAATATTTCTTAAAATTCACAAATAATTTGAAAAGAAATTGAATGTATGCCTCGTTAATTACGATCCTTTTAAAATTAAGTGCCTAATTTATTGAAAAGTAAAAAAACACAATAAATATTCACTATTGTATTAAATATTTTTCATAATTTATAGTTAAAATTTAAAAAAAAAATTAAACTATATACTTGGAAAATTCTAACAAGTGCTCGATTAAATTTATTGGAATATTTAAATATAATCATATATACAAACCTACACATACAATACAATCCGAAATTAAATGTACAAAATTTTTTTTAAAAAAGACATTTTTAATAATATTTAAATAAAAAAATTTTAAATAAAATTGAAATTTATATTTAATATTATTTTGTAAATATTACGGTATTTTTAACGGTATTTTATATACTTACTATTTATATAAGAAGAGTTTGTTTTTTAGATTTTAAGAAAATTATTATTATTTTTTTTTTTTAATATTATATACACAAAATATTTAATATAAAAAAGAATTTTTTTTGTAAAATTATTTATGAAAAAAAAAAAGAAAAAAACCCAAAATTTAGATGAAGAAAGAAAGAAAGAGAAAATATAAGAAAAAAAATAATTTTTATAAAAAAAAAAATTTGTTTTTTTAATTTTAAAGATGAAAGAAATTAACAAAATTCTTACTGATTTCAGAGAAAATTTTCAAGCCTAAAAATCAAGCCTATGCAGGAAACAATAGAAAGAAATGTAAGGAAAAAAAAATTTAAATAAAATTGTCTATAATCTGGTTTCTTTCTAATTTTTTTTTCCAAATTTAGAAATTCACTTAAATAAAATTTTGAAAAACACTATGGTTTCGAGTGAATAATTAAAAAAATTGTGGTTAATTTTGACAATACCATTTCAATTTCAGAATTTTTAATTTAGAATTGATAAAACCTTTAACGACGAAAAGAAGCCATAACAAAAACTGATGTACAGTTGTTAATTTTGTTGTTTTTGCAATTATAATTTCGAATAACCTAGAATAGTCCGAAAATTTCATAATTTTCGAAAATAATTTTTAAAGAATTACTGTTACATTTTAATAATTAAATGCACTAAAAACTTGTGCCTCTAAGTTAAAGTTAATTCAACAAACACTTCATATTGATTGGGGCTCATAAATGAAGATATCTATGGAACAAAATAATGAGAAGAATATTGTTCGTTTAGAAGGCGACTATGGTGATAATTTTCATTATGGCAATAAATTCTAAATATAAAAATGTACTTGAAACAAACAGACATTATGGTAACATTATTGCACTTGTATAATGCTTTAATAAAATTAATATACTTTACAAGTCATTTTCAAAATTTAAAGAGAAATATCAAATTGGACACTTAGTATGATTGTTATTGGAACAACAAAAAAAATTTTGTAACTTTGCAAATTATTTCAAAAAAATCAATTCAGTTTTTATTCAAATTCATTATATTATATTTATTATAATATAACAGTATTTTTTAACAAATAAAAAATATTGCAATTGTTTTATAAAAGTGACGCTAAAAGAAAAAATTTTAAATTAGTTAAATTTTGAAATAAACTATTCTTTTAGTTTTGCATTTCAATAAATGACCATGACAGTATAGCTAATACTGATTTTCGGAACTCATCAATCTAATCTCATTAGGGTAAATGAATTTTGTTGCAGTAATAAAAAAAAGAAAGTCAGCGTTCCAGAGAAGTGGGTTCCAAAATTGATATTGAAAAGCTGAGAAACGCACAGTAAGAATTTAGATTGCATTCTTATAATTATGAGATTATTTATACATTTTGTTTCTTAAACCATTTAGTCGCAATAAAATGCTAAATGTACACACGTCATGTGCTTATACTACACTGAATATAAACTTAATGCTGATACAAATTTGTATTATAAAATTTCACAAGGGTTAAGATAAAAAGTTTTCAAGGAAACAAAAAAAAAAATTCATTGCTGGGCAAATAAGTGAAAAATGATTAAAAATATTTTTTTGAAAAATACTGGCCTATAATATTGTTCTACGTTATATAATTTGTGTCCATATACGGGTCAACTTAATAATTGTAAAATTACAAGACAAATTTTTAATAAAATTTTTTAATTTTTTAATATTTTTAAAAAATTGTAGTACAATGTAATAAATTTGAAACATTGAACATTTTAACAAAATCTCTTATAAATTTGAAAAATATTTGGCAACACAAAATAAATCATGAAGTTCAAGTGACCTCCTTCTTGTTACTATTACAGCAACATTGTTAAAATTTTACAAAATTATTATTGAGAAAAGATTAAATTTGTTGCATGTTTTCATCAAAATTTAATGTCCATTGTTAACCTTTACTTAAACCTATCAAATATTCTCAGCCAATTTGTTTGAAAGTTTATCTTTCAATCTAGACACATATTTTTAGTCATTTAGTTAAGTTACTGAAATTTTTATTTTATTTTTGATAGTGTTATTATAAACAATATTATGAAAACTATGAATGAATGGCTGAAATATTTGTATATGCAAATTCCAGAATGCCACCTCGATCTTATATATTACCATATATAATAATTCGTATAACAACTTATTATTTAATTTTTACATTTTTATTTGATTTTCAAGACTCACTTACTTAAATGATCACTCACGGATAAATCAGTATTTTGAATATTTTATGCATGTTATCTAGGTATATTTCAGTTGTAAGTCCGAATACTTGAAAAAGATTATTATTCTCTTGTCACTTGTCTACGTGACCGGGAATCCTCTTTTCTTCTCGTTGCTGTTAATAGCCGTTCATAAACTCTGAAATAAAATTCATTGTCATTTTATATGTAAAGTTTGTGTTATAGACTTCCCAGTTCCTGTTTATTGATAATTAATTTTTTTTTTTTTTAACATTTTGTTTCAATTTCTAAGCGTGTACGGAACAACTTTATGTAAATGATACCAGGCTTTTTTATTTAAAACTCATATTGTGTACATTTTAATATTTAAAGCTTAAAAAGGAAAGTACAAATTACCTCCGACTTAAGCGCATTCACTTAAAAATTTTCTTCCAAAGTAAAAGCTCTATGTTTTTTTTTGTTCGTTTCAAAATGGTGTACACAATAATTTGTAATCAATAAATTTCAAAGTATAGTACGAATTGTACCAGTATATTATTCTTATATTAGCGTTTTCTATTAAAGATGAAAATCTTGTCATCACACCAGCCTGCTTTTCTGCCTTTTTTGTTTCGTTATTTACCACTTTACCACACACTAATTGATAACATGTATTTACTAACTAACTGTTAAAAAATAAACATATAATATTACTCATATATTAGAGCATTAATATCCCTAAAACAAAAACACAATAAACACAACAAACACAACAACATAATAAGAACAACAGCATGAAATAATAATAATAGTAAAATCACCTAATCTTTTCGGTATCATTATTGCACTTAACCTATGGTAAACCAAAGAAATAATAAGGAAAATAAAAAAAAATTATAGTCACTTATACGGTAATAGCACGTCTTTTAAGTTAAAATAAAATAAGTAAGAGAAAAAATGAAAAAAAAGAGAGTTATCTATTAATGTTACTTATTTTTTACAAGCAAAATATAAAATAATAAATAAATAAAAACAAAGTGAATGTTAAAGAGCCTTTTGAAAAATATTAGTTCAACCCCAATTATCGTAAGTAGCAGCAGCAAAAGCGGCAGCATAACAATTTTGCTTATCTCCACTCAACTTATAAAATGACAAAACGAAGAAAAAAAAATATTAGTAGAGAAAATAAGAGAATAAAAAAAATAAAAGAGAATAAAAATATTTTTACGCATTTACTTCAAATGAGTGCATGAGTGTGTAGTGTTGGTTTCGTTTAACCACTTACCGCACAAACTTTAAGATCTTTTTCATAATTTTCTTTAATTTTTGTTTTTTTTTTTTGTATATGACATTGAAAGGAACTAACAATGTTACACAAGTTTCATATAAAACAAAATGTATGATTAAATTTTAACAAAATGATAATAAAAATACTAATATATAAAAAAAAACAAAGAAATATTAAAATAGTCAACTATTATTTTACGTACTTAATATATTGTAAGTGTATACTTAACTTATAAATAGATGTACAGAGCCTCCGCTATACACTCAAAGATGTTCAAATGTTCAGTGGTGTTCAAATATTTCAGATATAAAAATTTTCTCTTTTCATAAATTGATCTTACAAATGGCAGGATTGAGAATACCAATGAAAAGATTGGACATTTAGAAGTGAGCGAGAATTGAGTTACAAAATTTGACGCAAACCGATAAACATCATGGATGTAAATTAAGCAAAATATGGTAAATATGTATTTAAATTTTCTGTTATAAAACGGGTTCCTAAAATAAATTAATTTAATTTTTATATTTTTTAAAACAGTGATAACTCCTTTTATTCTAGCTCTTGAGACCAAGCACTTATTTATTTAAGTCATATTTCATTTTTGTTCTCTTGATTCTCGTGTTCGAAATTTTTCGCCTTTTCAAAATATTTTCGACATTATTGGCCTGATTGTCTATCTCGCTATTTTACTCGGTAAGTGAGAAGAAAGTGAAAAAAATTTAGTCACTTTCATTCACTTTGTTT